GAGTTTTTGAACCCGTCTTCATCCTGAAGTATTTGAACCCTTCATCCTTAAAGAGTTTAAACCATCATCCCAGGTGTATTGAATAACATTCTTGAAGTCGTCTTCATCTTGAAGTCTTTGAACCCTTCATCCCACAGACTTTAAACTTTAAACCATCATCACAAGTCCTGGATAGGCTGACTTGTTACGAGCCCCTTTTGACCTTCACCTCCTCTTTGGCGGAACCCCCTTAGGCCCACAGCCATGCCTCTATTTAAGTAACAAGATTACGTAATAACCCGCCGCCCTTCATATATCTTTATATAAGTATGTGAATGTCACTTGTATGTTTTGTGCACGTGCGGCTGTGCGCGCTGATGTGTGACACGCGTCATCGGCCGAGCCATCAGCCCACCCACTGCAGGTCCCGGCCAGGGAACCTGGATTGGACCAGGTGGCACAACTGAAGACCTCTCCCCGGCGTAGTCCGACCCCCGTTCATGACGCCAGGCTCCCTCAAAGGAGGTACCCAGAGGGACAATGACGCCATATCCTGGACTCTACGAATCCAGACGGGTTTTAGATGCTGTAGCTGTCATGGTTCTTGGCGATGCCGGGGGACGCAAGGAATCCGGCAAGTCTATCGCCGTTGACAACTTCAACAAATGGCAGGCACGCTTGTTGTGCACGACCGTGGACCGCTCCAGTAGAACCCCTTAAGGCGCTGCCCGTACAGCCAACAACCGGACCCAGCCTCTGCGGTCGCTTGTACGCCGCGAGTGTGTTTGTGGTGTGCACGGTGTGATGTGTGTGTATGGTCGGAAGGTTACGCTTTGTAAACTCACTTCTCTTCGACACCCCATTTCAACTTAAAGCATGGCTGAGTGCCCTGCGATCTATAACCACCTTAATTCCCAACTTAAAGGCCAAAACCATTCAAATCCTCTCGATGCCACAGCCTCCTTAGGCTAAAGTCTCCTCATACTAGACCTCTTCGAACTCTTCTGCATTCCAACATCCTTCAAGCCCTAAACATTCGAAGCTTGGCAATGCAATAATTATTTGAAGCTTATGAAGCTTTCTCCATGGCAAAATCCTTTAAGCCCACTTAATCCTAGCATCGGCTTCAGGTGGGTAATTCAACGAACCCCCAAAACAGTCAAGTCGAAACCAAGCAAGGCAATCCCGGCAATGAGAACTGATTCAGAAAGGATGCAAAGCTGTGTGCGACAAGCAAAAATGACTTCGATGGCAGTCACGCACACACTCTCTCTCTCTCTCTATCTCTCTCCATCGCCATCTTATGTGAGACTGCCAGAAGGCAAGGGCGAGTAGCTGCCAGCCATGGCCCCATATTTCTTTAAACCGTTTGCATCCAAAAACGGTTGAACAAATACGACCTCTTCATCCCCCAAAAGCCTTTTGAACACCTCTTTATCGTAAAAGTATTTCAATTCTCCTGCATCGGAGGCTCCCTTTCACTTTTAAGTCAAGTCTTTTTGTTGCAACGCTCTTTAAACATCTCTGCATCCCACCGACGTAACTGAAGTTTGTTTGCACGGTGTCTGCGTACTTCCAACTCACTCACGACTCATGTTGAACCTGCCTTCATGCCCAGTCCATGTCATCCCCAATTTGATTAAACTTTGATTAAAACATGATTGCATCCCTAAAACCGTTGAATCCATGAGCTCTCTTCAAACTCTCTTCGCCCCACACTTCTTGGAACCACTCTTCATCAAACGTCATAACTTCATGATTCAAAACTTGGACATGCCAAGATATTGATCTGGCAGATTTGGCCATGCCAGATTCTACTTGATGTAAGCTTCGCACACAAACAACCCATACCACTCTATGGCTTGCAGCTTCAGGTCGTGGGAAACACATCACCTATAGCGTGTCAATACGTGGCATCAACATGGCTTTTAACTGCAAGAGACGCCATGCAAAGTGAAACTCACCTGGCGTTGCTGTTTAGAGGCGTGCGTGGATCTCACAATGGCGATGTAAGATCTCTAAAAAAGTGATACACAGTTAAATTATGTAGATTTTAATAAACAACAAATGAACAAATTTCCTTGTGTCAGGGAGTCACCTTTGACTTCGAGGGCCTGTTGTCCGACTTCCGGCGGCAACGAGCCAAAACAAAACATGAAAAGAACATATCTATCTATGGGTATGCTTCAAGCTTCCCATTATGGCGTTCATTAATCCACAGCGCAGTGCTTGTCTAATTTCATCACTCACTTTCCGGTGGCTGTTCCATGTTGCCTGTGTGTTGTTCTTCAGTTCGCATGAAGCTCAGCTGCGGGGATGCTCTCTGGCACCATGTCGCCGTGAGCCACGTGCGAAGACTGGCGTTCCTGCTTCTTTTTGGGTTCCTGCATGATTCTCGTGGTTGTTACTTCCGGCAGCGTGCATCTGTCGCTGGCCTGTCTGCTTCGTGATACTCCGGAGGTGTGCGATGCTGCACTGCTGGATTGTCGTTTTGGTGGCTGTGCTGTGCTCTTTGGTCCCCCGGCAGTCCAAACCCTGATCCTAAGCCCAATGCATTACACCAGCATTTGAAGGAAAAACACCTGCTGCGCAACACGCGAGTCGGGCCAGGTCACTAAACCCAAAACTAAGTGCGTGCCTAAGAACCACACTCTGATAAAACGCTTGCTGAAAGGCTGAAAGGCTGTTCAAAAAAGCGAAGCCATTTGCTATTGCGAGTCGGAAACCAGTCCGCACAAAACAAGAAGTGTACCAAGCACTCTTGAGAACCCCTTCGAAACTTCGAAACCAGCCATTAACTTGGCGGTGTTTGGCTCAAGAAAGAAAAGGTCCGAGTGAATTGCACTCACATGGGTTATGAGCCCAAAATAGGAGAAAGACCACCCTGATTGTTCAGGTCGATGGCCACCATGGATCGCCGAAGATCGGCATCGAAAGCTCGACGGCAAAGCGCGGATGAGCAGCTGGAAGAGATGCTGCAGGAGCACAGAGCGAAGTCGCTGCCGCCGAGGAGAGCGCAGTCCTTGGAGCCGAGCACCAGCATGACCCCAGCGCTGAAACGGACCGCGGCGACGCCAAAGCAGACCCCGGTCCCACAAAGACCTCAGGAGACGGTGCAGGTGCCGATGTTCACGGATGTGCCTCTGCTGCCGGCGGGATCTAATCTACTTCCTCTTCCTCGTGGAGCGCAAGGGGAGCCTGGTGGTGGCTTTGGAACGGGTGCAGCTGCTCTACTTCATCAAGCCAGAGAAGCCTTTGGTGGGCTGAGCTTCTTGTCTGCACCTTTCCCAGGGAATGCCTTGGGGAGTGGAATCCATGCCCAACTGCCGGTCCTTCCAGAACGTGGAGATCTCGGTGGTCCTCATGGTGGTGGTGCTCTACCCGCAGGTCAAGTCCAAGTTCAAGGGGCACTACAAGCGGGACAAGGTCAACGACCAGGAGTTGGACAACATGGAGAGCCAGTTCAAGGAGCTGGTGCAAATGGGAGTCCTCCTGGACTCAGTCAAACCCAAAGTTCACCGGTCAACCCATGGACAGCTGCCAAACTTCAAGAACAACAAGCCGGTGTGGCTGGCAGCGCTGGACCTACGGATCAGGTGGAACTATTTCGTCTTCAATGTCTTCGTGAGGCCGAGCAGCGGTTCGCGGAGGGTGTCAAACAGGTGGTGGGTGAGGGAATGACCTCATCGAACGCCTCTTTCAGCTCAGGTGTTGGCGGACAACCTGTGGATGGTGGCAGTGGGCAACCCGCTGGACAAGGACATCATCTTCAAGGGGGACAAGGCCTACAACCGGGCGCTGGCACGCAACCTATGTCGTCTTCGGTGTCTTCGGGGACTACTATGAATGGTCAACATCCTGGCACGCAAGGAGCTGGGATGGGGACGATGGCGAACGGTCAGAACCCTGACATGCAAGGAGCCGGGACTATGACGTCGAATGGTCAACATCCTAGCACGCAAGGAGCTGGGACGGGGACGATGGGAGTGGGACCTACAGGACCATGCTATCCTTGGCCCTACCCTGCTGGCATGAGATCAGGGGGTGGAGGTGGTGGAATCGCTGGACCTCCTCATGGTGGTGGACATAGCGGTGGTGCTGGTCTTGGAGGTGAAGAAGGCATGAACGAAAGCCTTCGCAACGTTGAGTTGCCAATCTTGCCATTGGATGCCAACTCATTGACCTTCGGTGATTGGTTGGTTACCATAGAACCACTACTTGCTGATGTGAGTTCATCGGCAGGAGATTGGTGGGCCGCAACTATAAAAGGAGTCGAGGAGCGCTACGCTGTGTGGTTGTCCTCGGAACCTCTCCAACGGCTCAGGCTGGATCCAGGAACCTCGACGGCGGCAACCAAGTGGCCGAGGACGGAGAGGAGAATGACCAGTTTGCTGCTGCAGGCGGTGCCTGAAGTGATTCGGTCGGAAGCAGTGGCGGCGAGGAAGTTGAGTGCTTCGCATCTGCTGTTTACGTTGTTTGTGAGGTTTCAACCTGGAGGCCAAAGCGAAAGGATGAACCTCATCCGTTACTTGACGGACCTGAAGACTTCTGGACCAATGTCGGAAGTCGCTTCAAACCTGAGGCAATGGCGTCGGTGGTGGAACAGGGCACAAGAGCTGGCGGTGATGTTGCCGGATCCGGTGATTCTCGCGGGCGTCCTGACCAAGACCTCGGACTACATCGCCAAGACGGGCGCTCAAGCGGCATATAGACTTGCTGAACAGTGACACCCGACCTACGATGGACGCAATCAAGACCTTTGCGGAGCTGTTGCAGGCCGAGAGTGAAGAGTTGGCTCACGGTGTCAATGGCGCAGGAACTACGAAAACGGCTCCTGTGGTGAAGTCTATGACCTTGACTTCAACGACGGCAACCACAACTACGAATGGTGGAGGTGGGCCGGAGGCCAAGCGTGGTGCTGGAGAAGGCCGGCGCGATTGTCGTTTTTGGTTGAGTGAAAAAGGATGTCGCAGGGGTGATCGCTGTAAGTTCAAGCACTCCCTGTTGAACCCCAAGGACAACAGATGCTTCCATTGCTCAGGTCTCAACCACACTCGTAAAGACTGTCCTCACATCGTCAAACATGAATGAGGAGAGCACGAAGGTGGCCAAGGTGAAGGGCAGTGACAGCAAGCCGACTACCCCGGAACGGGTGGGAGGTCAAAACAAAAACAAGGAGGCGAACGACGTGGAGCCGGAGAAGCAGGTGAAGGAGGATGACAACACTCCCGCCGGTGACTCTGGAGGCACTACGGCGTCAGCTGAGTTGGGTGGCTTGGTTGGGCAAGCCGCAGCGTTGTTGAAGTCGCTGCACTCCGTGACATTGAAGGCGATCAACGTGAAGTCGCTGGACATGGGCACTGGGGCGGCGTTGGGTGAGTCTCTGGGTCTCCTAGACGGGGGAGCCACACATCCTTTAAGGATGGCTCTGGACGGGGAGATCGAGAAGGCCGAGTTAGTGACGGTGGAGCTGGCACATGGTCAGATCCAGCTGCATCAAGATCCAGCAACTGGAACACTCTTGTCGCAGCAGCCGGTGGAACCTATAGTCCCGGTTCGGGGACTGGTGGATCTGGGCTACAAGATGACGTGGTCCAGGTCTGGATGTACTGTTGAACACCCGAGAAGGGGAAAGATCGTGTCACACCTTCGGGATGGATGCCCTGTGGTTCCGGAGAAGGATGCCCTGTTGCTCATTCATGAGATTGAGGCCGCGGAGCGTCGCAAATACCTGGACATCGAGCAGGAGGACAACCTGGACCCCGAGGTGATGAGTTGGTGGGAACAACGGTTTCCTGAGGTGCCTCGACGAATCTTCAGGTATATGGCGGAGGAGCACGACCTGACCAAGGGGACGTTGCCATGGAACCGCAGGACCCGGAGAAGGTTGTTGGGGGCGAAAAAGGTGATCCTGCACCTCTTTGCTGGGGAACGTGCTCAAGAATGGTTGGAGCTGCAGGATCATGGATGTGAAGTCATTGCGCTGGATGTGATGCATGGAAAGGACCAGGACATCCACAACCCGGTTTTGTGGGCATTCTTGGTCTCCTTGGCGATGCAAGGTTCCTTGGCGGTGATTCTGGGAGGACCTCCATGTCGGTTGGTTTCGAGATTGCGTTTCCGGAGACCTGGACCTCGGCCTCTACGAGATCGCCATGAACATCGCTTTGGACTACCACAGTCTTTCAGCAGGAGAACAACGGTTGGCGGATCATGATGCCGCCCTTGTGTTGAAACAAGTGGGGTTGTACCACGCAGTTTGCAGCTAATTGCCAATGGGATCTGTATCATATGGACCTGAAGACCGCTTTCCTGCAAGGCGAAGCATATGATGAAACTAGAGACATCATTTGTCAGATCCCGTCTGAATGCGGCTATCCACCACATATAGGAGCAAAGATGAAGAAGTCCGCGTACGGTCTGAACGATGCACCACGCAGGTGGTGGCAGGTTGTCGATAAAGCACTTCTTAGCTATGGACTTGTGCCAACTCGAGCCGACAGATGCACCTATATTTTGTACGGCGATAAAATGTCATCAAAGGACACTTCGTTGTCTAAGTCATTCCGGAAGACGTCTACGTCCAAGGATCCTGTCCAAGAAGCCATCGACATGTTGCTAGATCCTGTAGCACAGAATAATGCGCAAGGCCGGAGACCACATGGTTTCATTTGTCTTCATGTCGATGACTTATTCATGGCCGGAGACAAGGTCTTTGCAGACAAAGTGCTTGCCAGCATTCATAAGGACTTTAACGTAGGCTCGGAAGACAAGAACGACATCATGTTTGTTGGTCAACGTATCAAGTGGAAGACTCATGATAAGCAAGGACCATACATCTCTTGTGACCAAAAGCTTGCAGTAGATGCTGCAGAGGAAATCAAGTTTGAGAAACATCTAAAGGACAACGTTGCTTGTAATCCTCAAATGCATACAGCATATCGCTCTGTTTTAGGCCAGCTTAATTGGTTGCAGAGTCGAACGCAGGTTCACTTGTGTTACAAGTTCTCAAGATGTGCGTCCGCCGCTTCGAGTCCGACCATTGGTGACGTGCGTGAGATCAACAAGGTTGTTCGTACTATGAAGAGCCAATATGTGGATGCTCGATTCTGGCCTCTCAAGGGCAATCAACGCATCCTTGGCTTTCCTGATGCATCGTACCGAAACAACAGTGACAAGTCCAGTCAACGTGCACACGTCATCTATCTAGCTGAAGAAAGGCAGCCATACAACTCTCGATATTCCGAGAAGAAGGATAGCTCAGCTACACGTGGATCTATTATAGACTATGAGAGTCATAAGATCACTACTACTACTCAGTCTACCACTGTTGCTGAACTACAAGCCTTGATGAGGTGTTTTGGCACATGTCTTTTTCTCCGTGCTCTGTGGGCAGATGTCAGTGGCCAGATTCTTCCTATACACTTGCGAACAGATGCAAATAACCTGGTCACCACTGCGCAAACCACACATCTCCCCGAGCAAAAGGAAACACATCACCTCATTCAGACGCTCAGACACGAGAGCAACACTGGCAACATCGACGACTTAAGTCATGTCGCAAGTGAATTCTGTCTCGCTGATCTTTTAACAAAACACACCGCAAAACCGGATGAACTTGTAAGAAGCATAGAGACAGGAACACTCCGACAGGTTGATGTACACCCACCTTTCCGCACACTTGTGAAACACAAGGCCTTTATAACTGAGTGGGTCATTAATAACCTGCCGGATCCACAGTTTGTTCTCACATTCTTTGCTGAAGACATATCAGACTGTGTGTATTCGCTCATGTATGCTTCATGACATTTAATTGCATTTTTGGTTCAAGCGCACTACTACGGACGAAGACAAGCTTGAGCATATTTAGTCTCTGTGATCATCATGGGCCGCAAGACTCCCGCAGCTGCTTCCGAGACTCCGGTGGCACCGACTCGGGCACCAGCAGCCAAGTCTAGGCCTCGATTGCCGAGCCAGCCCTCCACTGCGCGACCGACATTACGGTCCAGGCGCAGTGTGAGTCTTTCGCGTCAGAGTGATTCGCCGCAAGTGGATGATGCGGCGCCTGCAGAATCCGGACGCCGCTTCATTGATGTTGTTCGCGCATCTTTGTCGCCTGAATCCGTACGTAAAGGAACTGGCCGACATTCCGGCCGAGATCAACCGAAAGGCAAAGGTAAAGGCAAGCGCTCGCCATCTCGTGAAGAGCGCATACCATCAGTTGAGTCGGTACGCCGCGAAAATGTTCGTCCAACTCAATCCAGTATTCGTGGGTACCGCCTCCTCCATACAATGACCCAAGGAGAAAGAGTCATTGTCACACAGACAGATGAGATCCACGATGCAGGTGCACGTGGCACCTCGAGCCGTGGACCAAGTCAGCCTGCCGATCGCCGACATTCCGGCGGAAAAGGCAAACGAACAGAGTCGCGCAATGCCGAAGGTCGACAGACCGGCAAAGGCAAGGGCAAGGGCAAGGACACAAACCGAGACGCAGGACCTCGCCCTAGCGCAATGGACTCAGCATTCGATCGCCCCGAATACGGAGTTAGCTCAGCTTTCGTTTACTTTTTGTGGATGATTTGGGCCGGCTTTTTCAAATTTAGCGATGAAGCTTTGACCAATCTTTACGAGAGCGAAATCTACGACAAGATCTCTCGTGAGCTAAGCTGGATCCTCCGCCACTCCGGGTGGACACATGCCGACCAGTCACTCACCGTTTTTGAGCTAATGGCCGGAGCGCGATTTAGGAAGATGCTCAGCCAATGGGCATATACCTGCAAGTCCAAGGAAGACCCTGTCTTCCCGGTTGTGCAACAGGCTCAGCTGCAGTCATGGTGCGAAACTTCTGTCGAACGCGTAAACATGTTGCTGCCGCTTGCCATCACCATCATGTACAACCAGAAAGGTAGGTACCAAGTTGGCATTTTGAGCACTTCCGAATATCAAAAAGGTGAAAGGTTTATTGGCAAACCTGAAGCCTGGATCCATCCAGCCGGTATGACGGCTGAGGATCGAAAAGAACTTTCTCAGTTGTATGAGCAATTTAAGGCCGCTCATGTTTTTGCGCAAGCTGTTTCCAGCCATTCGGGAGATGCCGCAGCTCCGATTGCAGGCCTGAGAATCCCGCACTGCCAGCGCCGGACACGCTGGTTCACATGACCGAGTACCGCCACATCCGTTCGATTCAGCAGTATGGTCTCCTTCCTGGAGGCGGCAATATTGCCGGCAATAAGCAACGAAACATGAATCACTTTTTGCCGATCGACGGACTTTTGGTCTCTTATGAGCACATTCGACCAACCGCAAATGTGGCACTCGTCCTGTCCAAGGCAACGCTGGAACAGCATCCAGACATTATGGAAAACTTTAGCCTGAGCAAGAATGGCTATTTTCTGACCAAGGACGTTATTACGGCCGGTCTTTTCAGTCTTGCATGGGATATCCGAAACAATTGCTGTTTGTCAACCAAACTGTGGGACCATGTCAGTCCCCGGCGAGCCGTATTTGCGTTTCTATTCACAGCTCTTTTGCGAGGTACTGAGGCTGGTAGCCAAAGGACACGACAAGTTCAAGATTGAAACAAGGAGGCTTGCATTTAAGACTATTATAAGAATCGCGAGGTTGAGGCATGGCGCAAGGAGGCCGTGGAGAAACTTGATCGTCACCAGATCCACGGCGCGTCCAAGCTTCACGCTGAAACATGGTTGAATTTTCTCTCCCTCGACGACGAATGGAAGGATGCTGAAACCAACATGCGTCGTCTCAAGAAACGCTCATTGTTGGAAACGACCGAGGAAGAGGGAGATGACCTGATTGATGTCGATGATGACGACGACGACATGGAGGTCGACGCCGATATTCCGGCGGAAGACGACGATGATGTTCAGGTCATTAGTACGTTAGATGAGACCATGTTGGATGACCTCGCAGAAGCTCGTCAGAAAGGAACCTGGGTCAAGAAAGGCACTGTGAAAAAGGAAGAGTCCGATATGCCGGAGGATCCTTCAGCAGCTGCCTCGTCGTCCTCCGCAGTCAAGAAAGAAGAAGTACAGAGCACAAGGGTTTGGTCCTCCCGAGCACGGTCACGAACACCATCTCGCACTGTCCTTAAGAAGGCTGACCATGCACCGGGAACGGCTCGCACTCCATCCGAAGGTCGCAGAGTTTCGTTTTCCGACACCCCGGAAACCAAGTACTTCGAAGCGCAGCCGAAGAAGCGTGCGACCTCCCGAGCGCGAGAAGTTATCAGCGATGCAAAGAAGGCACAGAAATCTCCAACCAAGTACTTTCATCGCTCAGAAAAGATGACCTGCCTTATTTGCGCTAACGCCGATGTACTTTTCTTTTGCAGGGCATGCGGACATGGAACATGCCTC